CACAAATTAGTTAGCATAAATCAGTTAAATGACGAAAAATTAGGTGTCTATTTACTTGTGACCACTCAGTGTACGCATTTAGTTCTAAATTGAAATGCTATAATGTTTTCTATAAACTTTGCTTGCAACACTACTGTATTTGGTCCATCTCGTATTTTTTTGCTAAAATACCTTGGAGGAGATGTTGGAACCTCACTTCAACTCTCTTGTTTTGTGATTGTTAAGGTTTTAAATTAATATTCCTTAAAAATCATTAATTTTCATTTTAAGTAGTTATTCAACAGCACTTCAGTAACTTACTTGTATGTTAATTTGGTATTATTTTGTATTTATTAAGCTAGATTACCTTGGGGTGAAGTGATTTGATTAAACCATTTATTATTTATTTTTCATTGCATATTTTAATGAGGTAAATCTTTTGCAAAATGAAATACTTTTTGCAAAAAAATTGAATTGTTTGTTTAGCTATCTCATTAGCACTTCATTGCAAAGCAAAACCAAAAAAATAACATGCTTAGTAATATAATATTAGAATTACAAACTAAAATAATTGATGTTGCTTATTTTGTTTTTACAGGGTATGCTTCACTACCACATCACAGATAACTCCATCCCTTTGAGTTACATTTTCAGTGTCATGGAAGATGCCAGGCAAGAGCTCCACCTGGAAGATTATCTAGTTAGTGACACTACACTAGAACAAATATTCTTAGCCTTTGCTAGATCTCAGAGAATTGTTGCAGAAAGCAAGTAATGTTAGAATACCTCACAATTATCAATCATACCATGTACATTTAATTATGATTTTTGTGAAATAGCCTGTCGCTTTTTATGTACTAACAGAAAAACTTGCATTAATGTATGACAGCTGTATTATTTAACATGGTAGTTCCATTTTAGAGGTCTGTGTTTTAACAGCTAAACTTGGCCTGAAAATAGTGGACTTGTCATTAAGGTTAGTATCTGGCTTACCATAACAAAAGTACATAATTTATGTTTGTATAGTTTATTAATGCAATGATTATTCTATAAGAAGATATGATTATTGTGTAACTGAAAAGTTATGTTATGTTTTAATTGGTAGATTACCTATAAAATTCAGTACACACAATAAAAAATGTGTTTTGTAAAGTCAAAATTAAAAACTGGTTTCACATTTTTATGTAAAATGGTTAAACCTATTGGTGTTTCCTTTTCTTTAAAGATATATATGTTATAAACATAGTGATTTAAAATGGAAACAATGAACATCGTTTTCTATTGGAATTAATTTTTTTGCAGAATTGATAAATATGTTTCTAAATACAGTAAAAATCATTTAAATAAAATTTGAAATATAAGGCATTCATTGATTGATTATCAATAAGTAGTCATGTACATAGTGTTTACTTTCTTTAGAAGATAGCGTTACATACATACATAATAATGCCAGGTGCGGGGTGCAAATTTTATGACAAATGAACATAGAATCCTTAGCATTTCCTTGTGTTAGACAATAAATTTGAACAATAACATGTTATCAAAATATTTTAAAACATTCATAGACTTCAAAAAAAAAAAAAAAAGAGCAATGACAGTAGACCACAATATATGATTATGTATTAATAAGTCTGCAAAGTAGTCGTTATGCTATGCATGAAAGTAACTTCTGAAATTCAAAGATATATAGTTTTCATTCAGAGGTCAAATAACCATAATTAATTTTGTTACAAAATTTATTACAATACTGTTATTCTAATGTTCATAATATAAAAATGTATTTAAAAAAAAGGATGGTTTGTTCTGGTCACCATAGAAATTTACTATTGTTTATCAAGTGACAACAATTAAATGAAAAAAAAAAGTATACAAATATCTGTCTTGAGAACAAAGCTGTTACCAACCATGGGTACAAAAATCCAGTTTTTAGCATTGTAATCCCACAGACATAGCACTGATCCACTGAGGGGCGGTATATGAGTAATATTTGCTTTTGTTTTCAGTTGTGTCTGACAAAAGCAAATCAGTGTTCCAAATTATTTAACATACAATTTCAACTAATGAGATGATATATCTGCATCTTATATCTGAATGTTTGGACATTCAAGCACAAGCTGCAAGACAGACTGCTTAAATACAGGAAGAGACTTTGGAACAACATAAAGTTAGACTTCGAGCTCAAGCTGAAAGGCAGGCTAGGCTACTCAAAGACAGCAAGAAACTGTTGAACAGCACAAAGCCAGAGTTCAGTCAGAATCATCAAGGCAAGCTGGATATAGACAACAAGAAACTTCTGAACAACATCAAACCAGAATTCAAGCACAAAAATTAAGACAAATAAATCACAGAGAGCAAGAAACAGAGGAGCAACATGATGTACAACTTCAGGGTCAAAGAACAAGACAAGCTCAAACACGATCTAATTTCAAATAAAGCTTTGTTTGATTAAATGCTTTTTTATTTCTCGCATCACAGCTTTTGTCTACTTACTGAATAATTTGCTGAAAAAAATACTGATCTATACATTTCAAATCCAAATTTTCATCGTGCAATGCCGGGTAACTCAGCTAGTATATAGATATAATGATATGTATAAAATGTATAATATTAAACCAAGGTAGAAGTTTTGAAAAAACTCCACTCTCATATCTTGAATAACAAGCACCTCAGTGCAACCTGACATAGCTGTGGCTTTCTTTGTATGTTAGTGAAATGGATAATGTAGGTTGGTGTTTCCTATACAATGCTCCTATGTGCCCTAATTAGTGAGGAGATGACATTCAAGGCAGCTGTTCTTGTAATCATGAATACAGGAATAGATGTGGGACTAAAGATTATATGCCAGCGATTTTACAGTATTACTTATAATTTCTGAAAACACTACCAGTGGTATCTTATACATTATTGACAGTTTTTTTCACTAGCAATTTAAATATCTTTGTGGTAATCCAACAAATTAACTAAGAAATTACCACAATACATTTCATGAAACTCGGGAGTAATCACAGTCTAACATTGTATCACCATAAAGTAAACTATTTTTAAACTGTTGGTAATCCAACAAATTAACTAAGAAATTACAACAATATGTTTCATCAAACTTGGGAGTGATCACAGTCTAACTTTGTATCACCATACAGTAAATTACCTGTAAACTGTTGGTAATCCAACAGATTAAGTAAGAATTTACCACAATACATTTCATCAAACTCAGGAGTGATCACAGTCTAACTTTGTATTACAATATAGTAAACTTTTGGTAATCCAACAAATTAACTGAGAAATTACAACAATATGTTTCATCAAACTTGGGAGTGATCACAGACTAATATTGTATTACCATAAATTACCACAATACTTTTCATCAAGCTCGGGAGAGATCACAGTCTAACATAGTATCACCATAAATTAAACTACCTCTAAACTGTTGGTAATCCAACAAATTAACTGAGAAATTACCACAGTACGTTTCATCAAACTTGAGAGTGATCACAGTCTAACATTGTATCACCATACAGTAAACTACCTGTAAACTATTAGTAATTCAATAGATTAACTATGAAATTACCACAATACATTTCATCGAACTCTGGAGTGATCACAGTCTAACATGGTATCAGTATAAAGTAAAGGAATCTATGAGCAAATTTTTTTTTTATGTGTTTGAGTATTTTTGTAGTTCTAACCAAGATATAAAAGTAAAATAGTAGCACTAGGTACTTGTTTTTAATTTTGGTATAAACTTGTATATTTCACTGTTAGTCCTCAAGATTATCCTAAATTATGTAGATATTTGTTAAACTGTGGACAGTTTGTTAATTTTGGGACTTGGAAGCACTATTTTTTGTGTTATTGATCATATGTTTTCTAAATGATATTATTACATTATACAATAAACCTGATTTTGTAGTTTAGGGTATGTGAAATTTCTGACAGGTCTGTGTTTAAATTGATATCTTTGTTATTTTAGGTGATAATAATCGTCTGTTTACTATTATATGACTTATATTTGAGTGTCTATAAATAGTTTATCATATTTCTTAAGTATTATTTCATTCATAAAATGTATGGTAAAAATATCTATAATGAAAATTAAAGATACAATGTGAAGGATCAACAATCTTTTTTTTTTCCTCTTCCAGGTTATAAATATATATCATATGTGTGTTTTTTAATTGATTTATTCTTTAGATAATACAGAGTTTAATCTGGGGGTAGAAAAACCTGAATAGCTTATTGTGTTGAGTTTTAACAATAAGATTTTATTTTCCAAGGTAAGGAATAACAAGTGTTAGAAGGAATTTAGAACATGACTGGATATTATTTGGGGGAGTTCTTTTCCTCTGCTTACAGAATGAAAACTACTACTGGTTTATACACACACATTTTGAAAGTTTCTGCCAAAATTGTTCAAACTAAACATGTCTTAACTCTTATTCACAGGACCTAGTTGATCTGCTGAGACTACATCTTCATTCATAACAAAATAACTTTCCTTCAGCACACCTTCATAAAAAAAAAAGGTATTCTTCGTCTTTACTTGAAAACACACAACTTTCTTACAAAAAACAAACTCCACTGAATAATATCCAGTGGTGTTCCAAATTCCATCTAACACTTGTTATTCATTACCTTGGAAAACAAAATGTTGTTGTTATAACCCAACTCAATAAGTTACTCAGGTCTTTCTACTCCCATATTAAATCTTGTATCATTTTCAACTCATCACTTCATATCAGTAACTTTTATAGAACTAAAGATATTTTACCTTCACTCTTACATTCAATTGTATTTCTGTTTTAACATGACCAACAAACTAGCAAATAACAAACTGTTTTTTTTCAACTGAAATTTTTATGATGGATGCATGAATCACAAGTTTGTTAAAAAATGAAACTTGGTTGTTTTTAAAATGGTTGTTAAAGTCTGTGTTTACAAGTGTACTTTATGTGATAATAATATATCCTGGATCTGATTGTAACAGTTTTCTGAAATTTCTCTTACTAGTGTCTAAAGAGTTATTGTTATACATGACTGTTTCCATTTAAGCATAACATGAGTATTAAATTTAGTTATTTTTAGAAGTGATAGTTTATCACAAATTAGTATGCATAGCTGTTTTCGATTCATACCTTGTGTAGTTCAATTGTTGTATTATTATGTCATGTTAGTAGAAACTTTTAAGTTTTTCACCTTGTTTTAATTGAGTAATATTGCCTTAATTTTGATATATTGTTTTAAAACAAGTGGGCTGTGTGCTGTTTGTATATTATTGAAACTTATCACCAACAAGTCAAAGACACCTACTGTAAAAAATATGGCTTACAAAACCTGACAGTGGCGAGCCAACGAGAATATACAGTAATAAACAGCAGTTGAAGTATATCTAAATGACAGCAGCAAAAAGGCCTATATAAGCATAGCTGTAGGGGTGGCAAAAATATTGTAGAGGTCACAGCCACACTATGTAACTATGTTAACAGATTTTGATAAGTTGATAGAGAGGGGCAAGCAACTTGGGCTCAAAAATGGCAATCTATGAGAGTTTGTTAAACAACTTTAAGACCTAGAGAGAGAAGAGCATCAACAGAGAAGAGAGGAAGAAAGACTGGGAGGAAAAAGTGAAATACAAATTGAGTAAGACGAAAAGGAGAAGGAGGAGAGAATTGGAGCACAAATTGAGAAAGAAGAATAGGAAAAAGAGGAGAGACTGCAAATAGAGAGAGTAAAAGCACAAACTGAGATTGCTAGGTCATCCAACAGAAAGATGGAGGACCCAAGAGTGACAATGGGGTCAGGGCCAGCCAACCCAAGCTGCCTAAATTTGATGAACAGGAAAACGACATAGATACTTTTCTGGAGAGGTATGAAAGATTTGTCCAAAGTCAAAACAAAGGCTTACAAGTATATGTGGGGATGACGTCAGAAGATGCCATGGACTATGACAAGTTAAAAGTGACCTTGCTGAAATGCAATAAACTTATCAAGGAAGGTTTTTACTGGAAGTTCAAAGAAGTCAAACTTGACACTGAAGAAACTGCATTTCAGTTTGTGGTACATCTATGGTGATACTTCACATGATGGATTTACATGGCCAGCTGTGAAGATGGTTTTAAAGGATTATCAGATCTACTAATATGTGAACAGTTTATGATCACCTGCTTCACTTACATGTCACTATTCCTAAAAGAGAGAGCACTAAAGGACATGGACGAAATGATCAAGCTGACAGAATAGTATATGGAAGTCCACAGGAGTATAACTGGCAAGTCACCCCTCAGTGGCACAGCGGTATGTCTGCGGACTTACAACTGCTAGAAACCGGGTTTCGATACCCGTGGTGGGCAGAGCACAGATAGCCCTTGTGTAGCTTTGTGCATAATTAAAAACAAACTGGCAAGTCCAAGAATAACCAGTTAAAGTCAAAACAAGTGGTGGCTGACCAGAAGCAGGAGTCCACCAAAGATGGCAATAAGTCAACAGAAAAAAAAGGGAGAAGAAATGCTATGCTTGTTATGAAATGGAGCACATTGCAAAGGATTGCAAGTCCATCACCAACAGGCAACAGCAGAAATCTCAACATAAA